AACCGACGACGCCACGGGAACTGCTTTCGCAATGCTTCCGTGGCGCCTTTAGTATTATGGTATACCTAGTACCTACATTTCTATAAAATAACTTTGAAATAAATAAATAGTTTTATACATTTTTCTTAAATACAATTACTTATTTTCTAATTTTTATGCATTCAATTAGGTACATCCTACGTATCTGCACCTGGTATTTGAAAAAATAAATACGTCAAACACGTTGTATATCTTGTACCATTTTGTATCATAATATCTATATAGCGATAACTCTTAAAATTATATTATATTAAGAGGACGCCATAACCACACGTGTTGTCTCCGTCTTCCAAACGTACCTATACTTATATATATATATATATACACACACCTATATACGACGTAGGTATATACAATTTGTGTTCAACAGTTCCAATTTTGTGTGATGATAATAACCTTTAATAGAGAAAATTGACTTATATTATTATCAAACCTAAAGGTAAGAACATTATCTGTGATTTCTCATAGCTTTATATAGGGTATTTAAATTGTAAAACAAAATATATATAGGTACTTTCCTATATAGATTATAGGTATGTAAAATGTTAAAATTAAATAATTCTTAACTCGCTTAAAAATAAAAATATCATTGAAAACACTCGAGTAAACAGCGCCGGCGGGAGGTTTTGCGGGGCCCGGGGCAGATTATTTTGATGGACCCTAGCCTAATGTAATGTAAAAAAAAAAATTTTCGCAAGTCCTATTACTTATAGGCACTTCAGTACTTGTATGAAATTTTTTTCAGTTTTACATAACTTACGTATACATATTTTTTTTCATGTACCTACTCAATTAAACATTGTATAAAACGTTCACTTGTAAATATGTATTTATTTCTTAAAACAGTTAAAACATAAAGCTACAAATATTATTTTGCTTATACACCTAATTTATTGGATACATTTTTCATATAAAAATAAAATATGTACAAGTTAAATGTTTATGTGAACTGCACTAAAGTTCACTAAATACAAGTTTTACACAAAAATTAAAAAAAAACTCAAGATTTTAAAATTTCAAAATTGTTTTTTTCTAGCTTTGGCTGCAGCAAAAATTGCAATCAGCTCACTAAAATCTAATGAGTCGGTAATTTGTTGTTCAATCGATAGAGTAGCTAAGCTTGTAAGTTTACACTGTGATAAAGTACTCCTTAAATAGTTTTTAATTATTTTCAATTTGGAAAAACTCCTTTCCGCACCAGCTGATGTTACAGGAATTGAGAGTATTATTCGGAGTGCTATCGAAATATTTGGAAAAGAACCACAACATTTTTTTAGTACTGAAAGAGCTTGAAAAGCTGTCGTTTCTTCAGAAATTATAGTACAAAAAATAAGTAATTCTTCATACAGTTCATAACAATTTATATCTTTTAATTCACCATCAGTTAGACCGTTTTGTTGATCATGGCAACATTTTCTTAACTCTTCTTTTTCCATGAATTTTATTTTGCTAATCCGATATAAAAAACCAAAGTTATTATTAAACGATTCAAGCTGTGAAAATCTCATATTCATAGAAACGATAGCTTGATCAACAATAGTTAAAAAATAATCTTGATAAAAAAATAGTTTCCTCATTTTTAGATGGTTCATCTTGAGTTTCATACGAAAACGTTTTTTTTTTATTTCGTATACGAATTTTTTTAAAATCAGCAGAAACTCCTATAGCCTCTGCCAAATCTTTAGCAGTTGTTTTTGCAGATTTAAATCTGGTATTTCTATAGTCATTTAAAAATGAGAGTAGCCCATTTAAAATACTAGCTGAAATATCTAAATCCATGTTCGGGCTCTGAAGACTTTTGCTTATTGTATTGACTTCTACTAACACGTCGGTTTTTTTTTAATACCTAATTTATTTTTACTCTCACTCGTTTATTATATGAAAAACCCACAAGCTGCAACTGCAGACGGCCAGCCGAGACTTGTATTTTTAAATTGAAAAACAAAATTGTGGTCTTACAAATTATCAAATACCATACATGCAGGCGCGGGGCCCCAAAATGGCGGGGCCCTGGGCAGATGCCCCTTCTGCCCTGCCCTTCCGCCGGCGCTGCGAGTAAACACGGATATAACGTCTTACTTTTTACCTCTAAGTTTGATAGTAGGTTAATCACTCTATTATTAAACCTTACAACAGAAAATTGGAACTGCTGAACACAATTGTGGTATATATGCAAATATACTGCACATTCGTAAGATGAGAAGTGAAACACGCAAGAGTCCTGCTATATCTCATTAAGACATGTATATACTCATAAAGTTAAAAAATCACTATAATTACATAGCAAAATTGTGTATAAGTTTACTATATTAAATTTTATTGAATTCTATAGATGATTTAACAATCAATATAAAATCCCATAAAAGTATACAATTGCAATAACTTCTAAGCTATATTTTCTCGAAAATGTATAAACATCATACAAACTATAAGTTATAAGTTATAACATAATATAGGTGCATATATTATACCTACACCTATTTATAGATTATAGGTAGGTAGGGCACTTTCCATGTACGACGCTGTACCTAAGCCTATAATTTAAAATTTAAATTTATACTATATATAATATATAATAATAATTCAATGTTTCCTGTTTCCATATATACCTACCTATACCTACCTATGTTATAAGGCATTATTATTATAAGTAAGTACGTGTTTAATATTATATATATATATACTGAATACTGATACATTCACGTTAAAATAATAGCCAAATAATTCCAAATTAAAAAAATGCTGTTGTGTAACTATTTAAAATTATTTAAAAAATATTAATATATGTATACAATAATATATAGCTTTTGAAATATTCAGTGTTTTTTGATAAAAATAATCACCCTGTATAATACGGCTGTACTAGTGTACCTACCGCAGTAATTATAATATACAACTATATAGAATATATAGACATCTATATTATATCATATTATATACTTAAGGACTTAAAGTATCACGATATCACGTATATTGATAATAAGATAAAGTTTAGATTTAAATTAAAATTTTTTTTTTTTGAAGTACCTATTTATTGTATTTTTATTAAGTATATTTCGTTACAAATTTTTATTATTAAAATGATGAACGCATTTACCTAATAGCAATACCTAGTTGTTTTTATTTATTTAAAAATTTAATAACGGCTTTACAAGTGTACAATTGTAGGTAATATTATTATGTTTTTATAGCATATAGAATCCGTACGACTGCAAAGTACTGCAGCATCAGTTATTATCACGGCCTCCCTTGACCCGGAATAATTGTAAATTGCAGAAATTTGATTAGAGTCATGCTAGAGTCATGCTGATACACGCGCGCTGTATAGAAGGCCGTCGTCGTCGTCGTTTCAACGATATCACGTATCAACTTACCGGTTATTATTTTTTTAATCTATATTATTATTATTCATTGTATCGGGTTACGACGCGTGATATCTACGGTTCAGACATTACAATTGGTTTTAGAATTTAGACTTTTAGATAAGAACATATTATAGTATTGTACCTATACATAAAAATATATATATGAATCATATTATTTTACATACCTATACCTACCTACCTGCGATGTCGGTATTAAATACTAAATAGAAGTTTATAATTATTGAATGTTGCAGTATAACAATATGAACCCGAGATAATCAATCATACCGAGTTGTGAGTTTGTTAATTAATAAAAAAAATATGTCTTGTACAATAGCTAAATATCTGACCATAGGGATTTTTTATTAAAGCACAATTGAGCATATACCTTTTTAACAACACGATTGAACATGAAATATTTTATGCGACTACGTTGCGACATTATTCTATTTACAATTAGCAATAATATACAACAATGTACAGAACATATGGATAGAAGACAATAAGAAAAACAATTCGTAATTTGGTGAAACAACATATTCAATTATAAAGAATAGGCGAAGATAGTCTTGATTGGCCTGTCTCATACATCGAGTATATTATTATTATTATTATTATTGTTATTTGATCAACCAGATTTATGAAATGTGACTATTATATTGACTATGAAATCATGTTATTTTTTAATTCGTAATTTGTATACCATATTTTGTATTATTATTATAGGTAATTATTTAAATAAATATTTTTTGTACAATATACCTACCTAGTTGAAAATGTAAAATGGCAAAGTTACAGAGTTTTTATGCTCAATCGTGTAGGTTTTATTTTGTATTTCTATATCCTTTGATACGCCAACAATTTTGCTGAATCGTGGCGCAAAAGAGGTGTTTTATGCTCAATTGTGTCTTAGCCTATAATATAACCATATAGATAGGTACCTATAATGTAATTTTTTCTAGTTGAGCCATTTTATATATTATTTTAATCTTTATGCTTAGACACTTGATAGTTAAACGATAGCTCGGAAACTTAGGCCATTGTGTGGTTTTTAACTGTGTGGGAGGGTCCTGTAGGTTTAAACACGTTTTACACAGTTTGGCAGATTTTTTAGTGGGCACCCGTAGGTATCTGCCATGCCCGGGTGAGGGATGGCGGTACTTCTCCGGACACCGTGACTTGCCCGGAGAAAAATGCCGCCCGTGAACCGAGGTTTGAACCGGAGTCGGTGCGCGTCGCAATCGATGCCTTAGTCCGCTCGGCCACTCCGTCCCCCTACCCCACCTATACCTATTATAGACAATCGATATCCCTATATATAGGTTTATTTAAACATTATTGATGTTTTATTGACGAAACGTCATCAACTGAAGGATGAATTTTATACCTAGTATTATGTGGAAATTATAATTTATATAGTTACAACATTTTTAAACGACGGCGAGGCTCGTTATTGTTGTTGTTTTAAAGTCGTGACAATATTACGTGCATAATATTATACACAAAACGTGCCTAACAATAATAATATAATAATTATAGTAATTTTTAATAAGTAGGTACAATTATTTTCAAAAGCTGAGCGGGAATCCAAGTTTACCACGCGGCGTCTATAAGTAGGTACGACTGTGGACTAAAGATTAAAATAATATATTATACAAATAATATTATGCCAACAGCTGCAGCAGCCACCGTGCGTGGCAGCACAAAATGGCGTACGTGCGGCGCCAGCATTGCGGCGAGGTCGGACACCGCGACGGCCAAACAGCTCCGCGACCGTCCGTCTGGCGAAACCGTTACGCCACAACTGGCAACGTCGCGGCTATGGCCCGGTCGGCTAACGTCGTCCCCGCGGTCGGCCGCCGTCGACTTCGTAGTTCGTACTACAAAGTAATAAGTATAATTTTGCACGCGCACGGCGCACACGTACCCGCGCGCTCGGGACGAACGTCGCCGCGTCAGCGATAGGCGGGCGGGCTGGGGAGGTGGTGGACGCGACGAGTCGGAATGACAGCCGTCGCAACCCGCCGATTTCCACCCCATCGAAACCCTTCACGGCCGTGGTAGTGGGGGGTGCACAGATACGTGGGGAAAACGCCCTCATCGCGACGACCCGTCACCTCATGCTGCGATGATCGTAAATTAGTCAGTAGAAATTAATATTGAGTATAATATTATAGTGCTCCACCACCGCGGATCGCCTACTCATCATAAATGCATACATTTATATATATAATATTGTATTATAAACTATAATATAGCCAATTAATAAACATTAGACTGACCGATAGATAGGTACTCGATAAACTTCTTATTACTACCTATATAGTGATATGTTGCTTGTAAATTTGTAATCGCCGACATAATATAATTAGTAGACAGTATAGATATGTATTATAGGTACACTGTTGACTGTAACTCAATGTCAGGTGCTGCAATTTTCATAAAATTTTAGCTAATATTTTTACCTCACTTGAGCCCCTATACAGGGTGTAGAAGACCTAACAGATGAAATAACTTTTGTTCTAATCAATATTTAAAATTGTTTTTATAGTTTATATAGACACTTGAGATAAACCTACGTAGGTATAATATAAAAAAATTATTTTCATTTTTTAATACTCAAAATAAAAAACAGCCAATTTGTAAATCTGATTATAAAAACAATTTTGTTGGAAAAAATATTTATCTAAGTTAAGTAGCTAATTTTTTAGAATTTTTTTAAATATAAATTATTTGAGTACATTTATTTAGATTTTAGAACGTAATAACTTTTTTCAAAATAATATTTTTGGGAATTTCCTGACATGATACTTCTTAAATTATATATTACTCTTCACAATTTTTTGTCATACGTCTAAGTATAGCATACATTTTTTTTTGTCAGGTCTATCTGCAGTGACATCCTGTAGTAACTCCCTTGAAAACCTTAAGCACCTAAATATGTAAAAAAAAACCACTTATACCTATATATGATGAATTATAAGCAGGACTAAAGTGGCATTTACTCTCAATTGTTTCTTTGCGGAGAGGGAGGGGGGAGGTTCATTAAATTATTAAACAATATTTTTAAAAAAGTACACATTATTTTAAACAAATATTCTTTTGATTGCTTAAAATCTAAAATATTCATGATGAATGATGATCTATCTCCCATATTTCCCGTGCATAGCTAGATCTCTTTTGGTGGGGACCAATTTCTTTTTACTGAACCGGGGGTCCGGGGCTTAAAATTCTAAATGCAGCAATGCATATACGATATACCTACCAATATAAACGACCCACCTATATAGTATAATATACTATTTAGACATTATATAGACATATATCTATACAATAAACCTACCTAACTTCTATTATTAAACACAAATGCATTTATATATTTCTTAATACAATAATTTACGATTGTACTTTTAATTTCAATTATTTAACTATAATAATTTGAGTGCCTAAAGTGTTTACATGTAGGTATACAGAGTGATTTTTTAAGCATTCTCACCCCATTTTTTATGTTTAAATTATTCATGTAATCAAATTTTTGAGAGTATAGTATAGTTAAATAGCTGTTATTTTTAAAAATTTTGATTTTCACAACATTTAAGGAATAATAAATGGTGTGGCTATACCAACATTGTTTTTTTTCAAATGAGAAGGAGAACCTATACATACATATTTCAATAAAAAAATCATCCTGTAAGTATAGGCAGTCATGGATAGTATTATATAAGCTATAGGCGACTTTACTCGTTTCGAGGACTCGCATAGAGGTAGTGCATAGACTTTGGTAATAATGGAAGAAGTTCCAATACACTGACATATCGCAATTTCTCAAAATAGAAAAATAATTTTCATTTGCAATCTATATAATATAATACATGTATTAGAATCTATACTTATAATTAATATTATATAATCTATATTTTAATGTTAATAAAATATTAAAACTATGCCATATAATAATATATAATATTGTTGTTAGTTAATAATCATTGCATGCATCGTCAGTTTGACGAGTGTTTAAAATAAATCTTGAGCTTGATTGCAAATTATTAGTTTTAGATAATTCGTCGTACTGCTAGAACAATATCTATATAAGAGGTTTAAAGGTTCAATGTTCAAATCAATATTATAAAATGTATTGATAATTGTAGAGGTCGAGCTATATTACTGAGAGAAGAAAATTGTGCATGCAACGGACTCTGACTTGGACATTCATAATTAATGTATTATATTATTTATAGAACTCAGAACTGTGTAGTGTATTATCACATAAATTATATTATATTCTTATTGCAGGGTTATGGTGAAGCTATATTATAAAATCGTTATAAAACAATTGTCGACTTCAACAATAATCATAATAAAATAGAAATAACAAATAGATTATAATATTCATAGTTTTTAATTTTAAGTGTTAAGTGATAATTTATTATTATTTGTTAAATATAACAAGTTGTGATTAATGTTTAACTGTATATTATAATTTATAATATATCATAATTATAAATTATAATGAGTCGGCTAATCGAATTCTAGGCAGATTGTTGGTACTCGCCACGACGCAATAAAACATATCTTTATACCTACTTCGATTATTATACTATTGCCTTTATAATATATTTTATATTCATAATACACATAAATACATAATTTTCCTACTCTGGCATACATCGGTGTAATTATTGTTATTAATATACAATCTAACCTAACCTAGATTACCTAACCTATGTATAAAAAATAATAATATCTTATAATACTAAAATAAGTTTAGGCATTACAATAAATTATTATAGCCATTAGAGAGTGCTATAGCCTATAAGGGACACTAATATCACTCCTATATTAAGAATTGAGCACCCCAAGCTGGGAATAAATATAGACTTGTATAATAATGTACCAGGGCTTCATCGCCCACTGCAGTTTTTTTTTACTGAAATCACTACCCGTATAAACGAGCATATAATATATATGTGGGTTAAAATGTAATATATTCCATATACATATACGTAATATACAATTATATATACATATATTATATATCCATAATAAAGGGCGATCCACGAACTAGCCTCGGCGAAACCAGGTGCTGCAAATGACGATCACGTTGACGGGTGCAGGGGGTTGCGGTAGCGGCGAAAAGCCACAGCAAAGGACCGGTGACGGAAAGGGAGATGAAAATATAAACATCTGCCGCCGCCACCGCTGCAGATATTTACGCGAGACAGTTAAACGCCCATAGATAATAATATACCCAAAGGTATATACATGATATCATAACCTAACCATATATATGGTTATAGGACATGCATTGTTAAGCCGGGTTCACAGTTACGTAATTTGTCGTGTCGTGTGCAAAAATTGAGCTCTGCCCAACTCAGGACATTTCCCGGTTGAACATGTATAGTTATAGTACTTATATAGTGACTGATATGTACTATTATCATTGGCCGGTATACCAGAATACGATTGAAGGTATACGGCAAATAATAAAATATAGACTCTATGACCCGGCCCCATGACATCAGGTAACGTAGCTGCATATTATGCGTGAACCCTGCTTTATCAAAGAGCGCATGTTATATTATAGGTACTATATATTATATATAGTCACAAAAGTGCCTGTTGAATGCATGTGCTACAATATGTATCTATAATTATATGGTTGCAACTTACAGTTACCAATATTTTTGCACCATTAATATTGTAATATTAAATAGTTATAATAATATAGATTATAGAATATAATAGCTTTAAAAGTTAAAACACAATACGACAAAATATAATATTTATATACTTATTACAAAATAATGATTAAATTAATCGAATTCAAAATATGATTGGTATAGCGGGTTGATAAAATTGTTTTATTTATTTATGTATAGCGCACCTATATATTAATACCATATTATATTATAACAGCATATATTACCATTGTGGTAACTATAGTACATATACTTCCATCACAGTTGTACATCGTGTATATAAATTATATTAAGGTACCTATCGTCTATGCGCCATTCGGTATAGCGATAGATACAACTAATGCCCCCTGGTAGATGTTTGTCGCAGCAGCGGCGGCGGCAGTGGTGGCAAAACGGGCGAAATATAATACAACAGCTATGTATATCACGTCCGTTATTGTGGAGGAGGGGGTGGTCTCGGTACGATTTTAATATCATATTATCGTTGTCAGAGCGCGTACAAGGCCGCCGCGGAGGGGATGGTTTTCGGTTTTGATCCTACTCGCCACCGCCCCGGTCGTGACGGGTCCGACGAACCGGACGAGGAGGAGGGTCCGGAGACGCGCGCGCAGACGATTGGCCGTGGCTACCGAAGGGTCGCGTCGCACACCACACAATACACATAGGTACTTGTGTATATTACATTGTATATCTGCGTATATAATATATTATGCAAAGTAGGTACCTACTACGCAGTGAATGCCGCCACGGGAGGGTGCGTGATTCCGCGTATGACGTGAAATGGCCGAACGCTCACGCCGTTGCTGCACCGATATAATATAATATCATTGATAAATTATTTTAACCAAACCACGTCTTCATATTTTATTATATATATTATAATATAAAGTCATTTGAAACGGATTGCAAATTATATGATCTATACGAAGATAGATAGATCCCATGGTAAACGTGCACGTTTACCCATATATAGCCCGAAATATATAAGTATCTATTGAATAGACATAAGTTCAAAACATGCGTGTTCTTAATTTTATTTCGTATGTTTAGTTCTATATTTAATACAGAAATGTCTGTGCTACATACAAACATTGAAACATATTATACATTCTCCATTTTCCAATATCCAAGTAATCACTCTATAATATTCAGTACCAAAATGTTAATATAAATTATTTAGTTAAATCATAATAAAAAAAATAGGTAGACTAAATAATAATATGCTGTTGGGGGAGATTTGTAGATTATAGTCTCCATAAGACCCTCCCCCAGCATTCTACGCCCGGTCAACATAATAGGTAATATGCCCAACGAAAGTAGAAATAGTATACCTATAGTACC